CCATGGTATAGATTCCACTGGATGACCCCAGTCCTGGGGCCCCTGTAACATGACCTCTTCCTGTGTCTTGGCAACTGAGGAATAGTTCAGTTCCCTTCCACTATTGCTAATCTCTGGACAATCTCCCCATTGTTTGTTTGTTTGGCTCTTAGTTCTTCTATCACCTGTGTAACTCATTCCCTGTATTAGATTTTCTCTGTTGTAAATAATTGAAGTAGTTTCTATTTTTCTGGTTAGACCTTAATTGATAAAATGGCCTACTCCATTGAGTTATTGCAGTTCCAGCCACATACAAGGACTGACTAGTAGCTTTTTCATCCTAATTCTCAATTCTATCAGAAAGAGAAGCTGATTGTTCTTAGGTCGTTGATGGGAGTTTTGGAGTGAGGAACAAGGAGAGGTGATTGAGGGATGGTTGGTTGACAGCTCTTAGTAGCAGTTTGACAAATAGTTCCCACAGTGTCTATTACAGCAGCATAGAATACAGAGTTAGGTGTGCCTAAATGGCCATGTTATGTTACAGAACTTTTAGAAAGTTTTATTGTTAGCCTCACGGTATTTATTATCATCCGAATCATCTTTATAGTCAAAATAACTCTTTTTTTTTTTTTTTTTAGAGACAGAGCCTCACTTTGTTGCCCTCAGTAAAGTGTTGTGGTGTCACAGCTCACAGTAACCTCTAGCTGTTGGGCTTAGGCAATTCTCTTGCCTCAGTCTCCCGAGTAGCTGGGACTACAGGCACCTGCCACGATGCCTGGCTATTTTTTTGTTGCAGTTTGGCCATGGCCGGGTTTGAACCTGCAAACTTCAGTATGTGGGGCCAGCGCCCTACTCACTGGACCACAGATGTGGCCCTCAAAATAACTCTTAAACAATCTTTCTTCTTTTCTTAACAGGTTGTAGCTTGTCATCTCGACCTGGTGTTAGCTGCATTTTAATAGATGATCCTGGGAGATAAAGTTCTTCAAAACCAGAAACCCAGAAAAATTAAAAAATTTAGATTTCTTGATGTTTCTATGCCCATAGCTATAGACTGAGAATGAGAAGGGAAGTCCTGGAATGGGGCTGTATTTCTGTTCAAGTCCTCAGAGAAGCAAACATCAAGATAGTGTTGGATATGCAGAAGCTTTATTGAGAAAACACCACTGAAGGATAAACAGAAGTAACCAGGAGCCGGAGTGTGTGTTTTGGGGGTGGCAGGTGAGGGAGAAGGCTTCAGACTACCATTCAGGTCTGTTACCTGGGAAAGCTAAGGGGGAAGGACAGAAAGCTGATTCAGAAAAACCTTAGACGGTGGCACAATTCTAAGAAAGTTTTGGCTATGCCACTGGAGAATGCTTGACCCAAAGATTCCCAGTGGAGCAGCGGTTCTCAACTTGTAGGTTGTGACCCACAGGAACTGTATTAAAGGGTTGCAGCATTAGGAAGGCTGAGAACCACTGCATTAGCAGAATCCTGCATTTCTTGAGAATTGGCCTTCACTAATCCCCTTGCTGTGCTCAATGTTAGGAGAGGTGTGTCCTTATTTAGTGGTTCCAGTAGGGGCAACTACTGAGGCTGAAAGTTAATTATGGTCCTTGCAGCAGATTTGCATGGGGGTACTTCCATGGATGATGCAAAGGATAGCAAAGGATGAGGTAATTCTTCATGCCAATCCCACACATAGCCCATGCTGACAATCCTTTCACTTTCCATTAGAGGACAACACCATACTATAGGATGTATAACTTATTATCATGTTTGTCTGGGCCAACATGGCAATTTTAGGATCTGATGGCCTGTTTACCTAGGTGAGTTGAATGGAGTGGAGGAGAAAAAAGCTTCAGAGGGTATATGGATGGTGCTGGTCTGGCAAGAGTAGTTCCAGGTTGAGTGTCTTATGTGGGCAGAGGCTAGGAAAGAATCAGCCCTTAGCAAGGGCTGTCACCTCCATTTCCACCTTTCCTAGAGAACATCTGCAATTTTTGTGCTTGGTTTTTTGCCATGCCTTAAGACATAGAATGCATATGGATGCTAAAGCAGCAACATAAGTTGCTGTAAAATCAAATGTCATGACTATTATTTTTTTAAGAATGCTGAGGTCCAAATTCAAGTTTTCTACCTTAAACAAATGAATTCTTTTATAAGTAATGTAACTCAAAATAAGTTTTATATACAATGTTTATATTTTATGAAATTATTAAACATCAGCTTTATTACTTTGGTTCTTTTTCCTAGATTAGACTGCAGGCCACTCTTTGCTCTTGGTCTGGTCAGGGTGCTTTATATCAACTGGGCACCAATAGACCCCTCATGTTGTCTCTTATGGAGTAAGAACATGAGATGTCAGAGAGCGCTGCATCCCTAGAGTTATTGCTGTGGCCTACAGGGTGAGATAATTGCCATGGAGCTCTGCCTTACCCTCCTCCATAATTGGGACTATAGGTGTGCACTACTGCTCCTGGTTGCCTTATACATTTTTTTTCTTTACAGAAAATATTGTAGAACACATATTTTTATGGGAAGAGTACATACGTTATGTATAGGTGAGATGATTATAGATGGGATTGTTTTGTGATCAGAGGTCTCAACCAGGAAATGTTTATCCTTGTGTCCAGCCAATTTCAAGTGGACAAACAGTTCCAATCGCAGCTAATTATTCATGAGAAAAAAGAACGGGAAGCAGAGGGTGTCTGACCTTTCCAATAGGTTCAGGCAAAAAGGGAAAGACTTATGTTTGGCTTTGTCACAGGTTGTCTGTTAGTCTTATGAGAAAGAGTGGCTAATGATTCTCATTCAAGTGATATGGGGAAGGGTGGTTTATTATGGTAAAGCATTCCTCAGAATAAAAAAAAAGTGGTAGGACTTCTTTACTATTCCTGTTTTACAGGCTCTGGTAAAGTTAAAGTTGTTGATGTAGGTCCTGTTCACTTAGGGCTGAACCCAGATGCCATTTTCTGGGCCTGAGAAGACTCATAAACCAGTTTGATCAATGTTCCATCTAAGCTGCCACTCCTGGGGGTGGGGTGGGGGTGGATTGCCCCAAACAAGACCACATTCCTGCACAATAGCAGTTTTAAAATAACTCCCTAGACCAGTGGTTCTCAGCCTTTCCAAATGCCGCAATGTATTTGCATTGTTAAAAAGGGGTTGCAGCCCACAGGTTGAGAACGGCTGCCCTAGACAGAGAGCCACAATGGGCTATCCACTTGGGACCTCTTTCTGCTGTGCTGTACGCTTTGTTTTCCTTCTCTCATCTATCAATAAAAATCTATCCTTTTGCTTACTTGTGGTGGTCAGCGAATTTATTCTTTGAATTTTCGAGTCTAAAGACCCAGCTGAAAAATGTGATAACATCATCACTGCATAGCCTCTTAAGATGGAGGCCTAGGAGAAGCAGAGAGCCATTTTTGCCATATTCTATTGTTTAAAGCAGGTGACAAGTCCAGCTATACTGGGAAGCATGGTTCACTGTGGACCAGCAAAGTAACAGTCTACAACAGAACCTTGGATTGAATATACAGTATGGAATGCCATTAGCACAACCTATGTGGAGCTAGCTACCCCATGGGGTAGGATCACTGCAGAAATATATAGTGTTAAATGCAGAAAAGGGTCCATCACTTTTTCAAACATATGAGAGTGGAGTCTTAAGGGTTGTGATTTTCCTAGTTTCTCAGAGATCTTGTTAATAGTATTTCTTGTTTTGGGTTTTTTTTTTTTTTTTTGAGCTAGGTCTCCCTTGGACTCAAGTCCTCTTCCCACTTTAACCTCCCAAATTGCTGGGACTACAGGTGTGACCCACCACTCTCAGCAAATACTGTTTCTTTTTTTCTTTTTTGCAGTTTTTGGCTGGGGCGGTTTGAACCTGCCACCTCCGGAATATGGGGCTGGCGCCCTTACTCCTTGAGCCATAGGCGCCTCCCCAAATACTGTTTCTTAATACACATTCATCCCATTGTTTTCTGTGATTTTGTTGCTAGTCCAGCTTCTTAATCATCATCTCAGTATTTGCCAATCTAACAGTAATGATGACTGGTTTAAACAGAACTCCTAACTAGGGAGTTTTTGCATCTTATTTATTTGCCCTGATTAAATCTGGCCAGAGGTACTAACTTAACCCATACAGCTTTTACAACAGGGAGGGGGCAACAGAAAACGGAATCCCTGTGTAAAGCGATGTGTTTGCTCATGAACAAAGGTCTTCAACATAAGAACCTCCTTCTGAAGCTCCCTACCTTTTGGATAGTTGACCTTTCTCTGACTTGATTTCCTTTTTCTGGACTCAATAGTATTAATTTCCTTTAAAGCTCTTTGTGAAGATAGGCTAATAAAAGACCATAAATCTTTTTTACTAGGTGAAGCCTCTACCACTCTAATTAGCATTACTATTCAAAGGCTTTCATATTGGGGAAAGAAACACCAGCATTCCCCATGCTTGGGTTAAAGAGAATCTTAGACCATGACTAAGCAAAGGCTGAGGGCAAACAAGACAATGTTTTGAATTTGCTTGAATTCTGATAGCCATCAGTCCTTTACAGAGATACTACACTTCTGAAGACAGTGTCCAAGGTGACAGGGAAAAGATAAAACTAAGTTTAGTATTGTGGGTTTGTAAAACAAAACAAAACAAAAACCTTTTATTTCTCTATGGGTTATACTATAAAGTAGGTCTGCACAAAGCGCTAGCGACTCCTTCAAAGGAGAGCTAAGTTTCCAAGTGACACATGAGCTGGGTCTGAAGTCTCCTCAGGTACAGAAAAATGTCCAGTGGGAAGCCGTTTACATGAGGCAAGGGAAGGTAAATTCCTGGGCAGGAGGAGGGCTAGGCTAGGCTCTCAGAGAAGGTCTCAGGGACCGACTACTCCCCTGCTTAGTCCCGGTCGTGAAGCTCTGATTAAGACCCCTTAGCAGGTCCCTAGCTGAGCACCGGCGGGAAATGGGAAGGAAAGAAGTCACGCGCATGCGCCCAGCAGCCGGCCGGCTCAGCGGAGAGCTGGGTCCGCGATTCACTCCCCATCTCCTCGCGTCTCGCGGGCCCCAAAAACTTAGACTTGCGGGCAAGCGCTTCGCGCGCCCGCGCAGTGTGTAGGTCCCGGGCGGGCGCCTGCGCACGAGCTTTCCGGGCGCGCGGGCTGCGGGGTTATTAGAGGTGGAGCGCGGGGAGGGCGCGCGGCAGGAGGCTGCCGCCGTTACGGCGTGAGCGTGGTCACGTGGCCGCTGGTCACCGCCGCCACCCCCCCTCCCGCCCTGTTCTCTTTCAGGTCGGGCCGGGCCCGGCCGTTCCGCGAGCGCCCAGCAGACTGAGGGAGAGAGAGAGAAAGAGGAGGGGAGGAGGAGGAGGATTCAGGGAGTAGGAGCTGGGGAGCCCTGCTGCGCCACAGGTAAAACGCAACGATGATGAAAATCCTAAAAAAGCCCAAGCCCCTGAGCGCTTCCACCTTCCTCCAGTGCAGCCTCCACATGCAGTCGCTCCGGCCCCGGCTTCCCATTCACTCTTTCAGGACGGGTCCCGCCTCCCCTCGCGCCGCTGCAGCCGCCGCCGCCGCCTCCCGGGAAGGCCTCGAGGGTGCCGCCGCCGCCGCTGCCCGCCGTGTGCGCCTCCCGGAGTCGGCGTGGGGGTTGGGTGGCGGGAGGGGCGGCTCCCTCAGCTCCCGGGGCGGGCAGGGCGAGCGAGGCGAGGTGGCAGCTGCCAGCCAGCCTGCCTTCCCTTCCGCAGGAGGTCGGGGTCTAGGCTGGAAGGCAGCTGCGGCCAGAGGGCAGAGCCTGGTGGCGGGCTTAGGGCTCAACTTCCTCCTTGGTAAATGTCCCCGTTCATTTCAGCCCTGGGCTGCGCGCTTCCTTCATTGGCCGGAAGCGATTCGGGCCCAGAATCCTTGAACGTTATGAATTGTAGCCTTTAAAAAGAGACGAGCCTTAACTTCACTTTTGAGCAAAGGAAATAGGCCCTTGTTTTCAGTACGACTTAAGTCTGTTCACCTGTAAGAACGTGAGGCCTTTCGGGATATGAAGAAAAACTTTGCAGAGGGTGAAAGTTGATCCCTCTCCCCACGGCACTACTTTTCTGGAAAACCAAACACAAACCTTCCAAAACAATACTCAGTTCTACAAATACAAATGATCAAAAGTTTGTTCAGTAGTAGTTATCAAATTGTTTTAACTCCGGGAATGTCATCTTATGTTTAACGTTAACATCCTGTACATTTTCTTTTCTGAATAATGTCTTTCTGGAAAGCGCTCTTTTGTCAGTTATTTAGATACATCCCGAAATTTTAAAACAGGATTCTTTTGTATTCTTTGTGCATCAAAATACAGTCTCAGTAAAACTATAATTAGCGTTCTGTTACACAAAATACTTAAAGCAAGTGAGCATTAGGTATTGCTGAAAAATAAATCTTTGAACACTTAACTATTAGTGGCAAAGAAATTCATTTATATATTGGTTTTACTCTTTGAACTTATCTGATTTCATGTCGTCGTACTTTTCATATCACTAAATTCATTTGTAAACTTGAGCATTTTTAATTTTACACCTATCTGCAGCAGTGTCAAATAGAGCAGTGTTCAAACCTTAAAGCCGGTAGAAATCACTTGGGGCTCTTGTTAAAAACCTATTCTGATTTATGACATTTGTGATACAGCTTGATATTCTGCATTTCTAAGAAGCTCCTGTGTACTGCCAGACATGGAACCACCCTTGAGTAGCATGGATATAGATAGATTGTGCTCAAAGAAAGAAAGTGATTTATCAAGGAATATTTATTTTAGTAATTCACCCCAGGTGGACAGGTGGCTTGGGGGAAGGGGCAAATGGCAGGGTGAACCTAGAAAGTTTACATAAGGAGATCCCTTATGCAGAATGAGCTGGACAAGTCTGGATCCCATGATGTGGATGAGATGAGTGCAGTCATCTTTACCTTATGCTGTGTAGTACCTGCTCCCCTGGCCTGTGAACTTTTCAGTAGAAGCTTGGTGTACTTCTAGCCAAGGACTTGTTCAACTATGAGTAATTGGGTTTTATCATCATGTAGCCTAAGAATCTTGTGTCTGGGAATATTCTGGATGAAAATTTCTTTCCTTAGTAGAGGTATTGAGTGTGTGCTCTCTCTCCAGTTTGGCTTGCTGAGTAGTGCGTTCCTGAGCTTTAAAGCAAATATGCAAACAATTGAAGAGTCCTACTTACTGGCTGTGCTCTAACTGATGTAATTAAAAAGTTTAGAAGTGTACATACTCTTCTGATGTAATTAAAAAGTTTAGGAGTGTCACACATAACCACATATACTTTATGTACATGAAAATGGTTGTACTTAATTTCCAAGAACTTTGTGAAAGTATAACATCGGCTACTTCTAGTGCCATAATTTTCAGTCTTCATTTTAGTTCTTATTTTATAACATGTTTGTTCATGTTATAAAGTAATATTTATGACATTACATTGCCAGACACTCTTCTAAGTGCTTTAAGGTACCTTGAACTTATTTAATCTTCACAACTTTCTTTAAGAATACAGAAGCAGAGCGTGGATCACATGGTGTCGTATACACAGCTAACACAGATTCTGGCTGGCTGACTCCAGAGACCATACTCTTAACAATCTTCTTTATGTTGCTTTATTATTTAGTAGTTAGAAAAGTCCATTGCAGATATTCTTGTCAGTTCCTTTTTGCTAATATTGTTGAGAGTTATGAGCTTTACTTTCATTTTAAAAGTCAAATTTGTCACCCTTTTATTTCCCCTATTTTATCCCATCTAAAGCCTCAGTGCTTCTAATCTTTTCTGAGTTAAGATGTTGAAATTTGCAAAATTTTGTTTTGCTTGCACTTGTTTGATGGGCTAGTGAGTTTTCTCCTGTTTCTATATCACTGTTAAATGTAAAATATCTACTTCCTTTTGACTTTGCAGGTTTTTCAGTCACTTATTTTCTTCCTGTGCCTGATCTCCACCTGCCCACGTATACATGATAAATTTTTGTATACTTACTATCTTAACACTTAGGTTTAGGGATTTACTGGGATACTGACTTTTTATTTGGGCTGTAAGAACAATATTTTAACAATGAAAATGTTAAGGAGAACCTCAGAAAAAAGGACATTTTAAGTTGAATAATTTGTGTTTTATAAAAAAATAACATACTGTACTACCTGCAACTTCCTTTTTGTCTCAGAACACTGAAATCTTTGTCCTATTTTCAGTACGGTTCTGAGAAGTGTTGCTTACATAATCTTATCTAAGACATTTCTGAATGGCAGTACGTAAAGCGTGTGTATTAGAACTGAGAAGGGTGAGGGGTGGGATGCAGGATATAGGAGAGGGGAGGGAACATCTTGGGGGAGGACCTGTAGGCTATTTCTAATAGCATCAATTATTATTTGTTTTATTTATTGTTTCAGGTTCATTGAGGGTACAGAGAACTAGGTTAACACTGTTTGCATTTGTTAGGTAAAGTCCCTCTTAGAATTGTGTCTCACCCTTAAGTGGTGTGCCATGCTCCATAACCACCATCCTCTTCTTCCTCCACACTCCTCCCTTGTTCCCCCACCCCCACCTTGAATTGATTTGAGTTTTTCTCTTATGTGGGTATATATTAGATCATCTACTGCCTTCTTGAGTACATTGGATTCTAGCTTCTCCATTTTTGTGATACTTTACTAAGAAGAATGTATTCCAACTCCATCCAGGTTAATACGAAAGATGTAAAGTCTCTATCTTTTTTAATAGCTGAATTGTATTCCATGTGAGACATATCCATTACTTGTTAATCCATTCCTGGGTTGGTGGGCATTTAGGTTGTTTCCACGTTTTGGTGATTATAAATTGAGGTGTGATAAATAGTCTAGTGCAAATGTCCTTATGATAAAATGATTTTTTTTTCCTTCTGGGTATATGCCTAGTAAGGGATTGGCAGGATCAGATGAGAGGTCTAATTTGAGTTCTTTGAGGATTCTCCTTACTTCATTCCAAAAAGGTTATATGAGTTTGCGGTCTAACCAACAGAGTAAAAGTGTTCTCTTTTCTCCACAACCACGCCAGCATCTGCAACTTTGAGACTTTGTGACATGGCTATTTTCCCTGGGGTTAGGTGATATCTCAGGGCAGTTTTGATTTGCATTTCTCTGATGATCAGAGACGATGAGCATTTTTTCAAATGTTTGCTAGCCATTCATCTGTCTTCATCAGAGAAGGCCCCATTCGTATTTCTTGCCCATTGGTAGATGGGATTGTTTGGTCATTTTTTGTTGATTAATTTGCACTTCTGTAGATTCTAGTTATTAATCCTTTGTCATATTCATACCTTGCAAATATCTTTTCTCATTCTGAAGGTTGTCTTTTTGTTTTACTTGTTGTGTCCCCAGCTGTGCAGAAGTTTTTCAGCTTAATTAAGTTCTGTTTGATAATTTTTGTTGTTGTTGCAATGGCTGGTGAAGTCTTTGTTGTGATAGATGACTTCATTCAGCTTAAGAAATGTGCCCCTATGCCTATTTTCTTAAGTGTTCTTGTTTGAAAAAGATGCTGAATTTTGTACATGCTTTTTCTGCATCTATTGAAAGGATCATATGGTCTTTGTTTTTGTGTCTGTTAACACAATGTTTTTTTACATTTATAGATTTGTGTATGTTAAACCAGCCTTGTATCCCTTGGATGAAGCCTACTTGATCTTGATGTATAATCTTTTTTACATAGCTGCAATTAGCTAAGATTTTGTTGAGCATATTTGCACCAAGACTCATTAGTGAAATTGGTCTGTAGTTCTCCTTTTTGGTTGGGACTTTCCTGGTTTTGGAATCAAGGTGATGTTTGCTTCATAGAAGGCATTGGGGACCATTCATTCCTTCTCAATGTTTTGGAATAGGTTCTGCAGTAGAGATACAATCTCGCCTTTGAAAGTGTGATAGAATTCTGATGTGAAGCCATTTGGTCCAGGACGTTTTTTTTTTGTTGTTGTTGGAAGCTTTTTCATTGTTTCATGGTTTATGCAATCTCAGTGCTTGATGTTGTTCTGTTCAAGAAATCTATTTCTTCCTGGTTAAGTATAGGAAGATGATGTGATTCCAGGTATTGGTCTATTTCCTCTACGTTGTCAAATTTCTGGGTACAGAATTTTTGGTAATAGTCAGAAATAACCTCTTGCATCTTGTGGTATACTTTGAATTCTTTTGATTTTTGTTGAGGTTTGATATGTGTCCTAGGATATGATCTATTTTGGAGAATGTTTCATGGACCAATGAGAAGAACTTATATTCTTTAGCTTTAGGATGGAATGTTCTGTATATGTCTATTAAGCCTATTTGTTCTGGGATTGCATAGGTTCCTTGTATCTTTGTTTAGTTTTCTGTTTAGAGGATCTGTCCCCAGCTTTGTAAGAGACATGTTAAAGTCCCTTGCT